TCACGTATCTCAGGCACTATCGAACCGAATTTTTGAAACTTTGCGCGACAACGAAGTTACTCAAGTATTCGTACGGTTATAAAATCCAAAGCTGGATTCGATTTGTTCGCTTTTTTGTTTTTTTATCAAAATCAACAACTTTTATGCTAGATATTAAATTGGTTGACTATGTATAAAAAAGCAACTGAATGGTGCTAATGTGTAAGGAAAATAGATCAATTACATATCTAGTAGTTTTTTTTTGTTGAACTTTTATTTATTTAAATGTCTTATTTTATTTCAAGGGTTATTATCTTGGTTCTATTTACATAAATATTATACAACATACTGCTTTGAATTGAGCTAAAGATATTTTCAGAAAACAAAGTACCAAGGTATTATATATCTATATACAATGTGTTTGGTAACGACATACCGATATTTAAGGGGGGTATTTTTCAGCTATTTTTATCGACAAATCCACCCCCCTACAATGTCCTACCTCACCCTCCTTAAAATGGCAACAATTTTTATTTTTACGTTACGATTACGCTAGTGCGTGTATGAAAATTGTAATAACTGAGAACATAAGAGTCACAGAATGATATTTGGTGTCATTTGAACGATAACATGTTGTACTAGCGATTATTGAAAAACTTGTATTGATACTAATCGTCAAACATACTTAAAAACAGACAAAAACAGAAAAAAATATGCAAGAAAATTGCTTATTTCGTGCATATCCGCACTCCACTCAAAAACTAGTTTGTGAAGTTGTACTTTTTTTGTGCTAATTCTACAGCTAACTATGTTATCTACAAAATGACATTGTAGGGGGGGTGGACTTGTCGATAAAAATAGCTGAATAATACCCCCCTTGAATATCGGTATGTCGTGACCAAACACATTGTATATATACAGGGTTATCCAAATTAAGTGTCCACCATTAGTAACTTTGTTATTAGTGAAAATACAAAGTTGTTTGAATTAGCAAACTAGTAGCATTTTTAACGCTGGTAAAAATGAGAAATAAAAAAAACAATTGAGAGTCGTTATTTTGATTTTTTTCAGTAAAATAACATTTTTTTAAATGGAAACCCCTGTATATTATATTTTTTTCTGTTAAAGCATCAAATTTTAAACAAAAAAGCTTACAATAACTTTTCTCCTAGGTTACAAATTGTTGAAGTTATGGCCTCCAATCTGAAACAATTAAATTGTATCGACAAACTTTATTTTCAACATCAACTTATAATCTTACAAAATACAATAACAATTTTTTTTAAAGAAGATGCTCGAAAACACCACCTTGTTCTTCAATACATTTTTGGGCACGTTTTTCAACTGCTCGAACTGTCTTAAGTATGGTCCTACCATCTATCTGGGTTATCTTTTCCCTAACTGCAGTCTTTAACGCGTCAAGGTTATCGTACCTTCGCTTGTAAATTTGGTTCTTTAAGTAACCCCACAAGAAGTAATCAAGTGGGTTTAGATCTGGTGATCTGGGAGGCCACTGTATTGGGCCATTTGTTCCTATCCACTGATCATTAAAAGTAGTACTTAGAAAATGATAAGTACCTCTGGAGTTGTGGGCAGGTGCGCCATCTTGCTGAAAATGCAGATGATGTCTACTTATAAGATCCAATTCGTCTAAGAAATTAGTCAGAATTTCTGACATAATTCCACATATCTTTCACCAGTTAGGGTTCCCTCATAAAAGAACGGGCCAACAATTTTTGAACCAATTATACCGCACCAAACGTTGAAACTGAAACGGACTTGTGGGCCTCTTGGATGTACTAACAAAAGATTTTCTCTTGACCAATAATGGTGGTTTTTTCTATTAAACATTCCAGAATTTGAAAAATTTGATTCATCTGTCCATAAAAGGTAACGAAAGTTATTTACATTTTGGCGACAGAAGCTAAGATACCAATGGCAAAAAACAAGTCTTCTCTCTGGATCCCCTGCCAAAAGCGTTTGAACTGGTCGATACTTATACGGAATAAATTTGTATTTTTTTAAAATCCTTTGAACAGTACCATAACTGAAATTAGAGTCCTTGAGAATATCTGCTATTGAATTCTCACGATAAGCTTCAAAATATCCAATAACTGCAATTTCCGTGGCCTCGCTTATTATGAATTCTTTTTTTGCCCTTGTTTTAGCAAAAACATTTTCGTTGCCCCTAAATTTTCGATAAAATCTCAGAAAATATCGTTCATACGGTTGAATGCGAGCGGGATATAATTCACTGTAGTATTCTCTTGCTCTCAAGGAGGATTTTCTGCACACTAAATAGCATTCTAACATATCACACTTTTCTTCATGGGAGAACATTTTTCTTTAAATTAATGACACAATAAAGCTTATAAACAAGTATTTACACTAATGTTTGACACTATTTGATTTTATCATTGTTTTCCAAAGCCTTCTAGTTGCGAGTATGTCCAGTTTAACAATTTGTCGCTTATCTTAATGCTGTCAAATCGCGAACGCCATGTTGTTTTCATAGCCGTCTTAATATTATAATACTGCAAATAATTAAAAATATTTATCGTTATTTTGACTTTATTTTTGACTTAAGCGGAAAAGTCATTATGAACTTTTTTGTTTAAAATTTGATGCTTTAACAGAAAAAAATATAATATACAGGGGTTTCCATTTAAAAAAATGTTATTTTACTGAAAAAAATCAAAATAACGACTCTCAATTGTTTTTTTTTATTTCTCATTTTTACCAGCGTTAAAAATGCTACTAGTTTGCTAATTTAAACAACTTTGTATTTTTACTAATAACAAAGTTACCAATGGTGGACACTTAATTTGGATAACCCTGTATATAGGGTGACTTTGAAGTTGAGTCATTAATTTTCAGATAATGATTGTAGAAGGAAGATAAACCAAAATATGTGTGTAAAAATAAAAAAAAATTAAAAATTTTTTTTTACCTTGTTTTATAAAGTATCCTCCCGACAAGTATTTCAGTGCGGACCTGTATTTGATCGTGAGGTCTTGGAGCACCGGCATGCAGTCCCTTGTGAGGTCTTGAGTCACCTGATTCACGAGCCCGTTGTACTACATTAACAAAGGCACGAGGGGTTGGCTGCACTCGATTGGGAAACCGATCCGCATAAATATGTGCCATTTTTTATTTCGTTTGAGCCACGCAGCAAACACCACTATTCACTCACGCGTTACCGACTGACACAGACTGAATAAAAACATCGTGATCAGCGTTTCAAATTCTTTCGCTTTTTTGTTTCCGATGCGATGAACCGATAAGGCGGAGTATATCCGTTGTCGCCAAACACGAGCACATAATATTATTATTGAGACAGGGCGGTACTCAAACTTCTAAGGGGCTATAACTTTGTTACTTTAATTTTACCACAAAAATGTTAAAGGAAAAAACATTTCTTTTGATCAGATCTACTCACTGTTAAAATAAATGACTCAACTTCGAAGTATATATATTTATATCTAAACTTGAGACGTGGTCATTGCCGTTTAGGCCAGTTAGATGAAAAATAAGGCTTCCCCCTTTTGTTGGGTACTTCGACAAAATTCAAGCAAAGAGGACTCTTTATACTTTATTAATCTCTAGCTTTCAATGGACTTTGCCATCTTCATCAGGAGTGTCGTATGTGAGGTTGTTGCTGAATGTTATTAACGTTTTGTGCTGCATCAGGTGGTTCATGATGTAATTTTAACTTTCGTTGATTAATATTTTCAATCCGTTTTAATTTGTTCCTGACATACAGCTGTGTGTAGGTTATATTAATTTTGACAAATATACCATGTATCCAGCTTTCACCAGGTTACTGGTTGTATCCCTCAACCAAAACGTTAATAACATTCAGCAACAACCTCACATACGACTCTCCTGATGAAGATGGCAAAGTCCATTGAAAGAGATTAATAAAGTATAAAGAGTCCTCTTTGCTTGAGTTTTGTCTAAGTACCCAACAAAAGGCTATAGCTTTATTTTTCACCTAATATATATATATATATATATAACAACAAGTAGGAAAATAATGGGCTAAATCCGCAAAAAGGAGGAAAGTGGATTCGAGCAGAAAATAGGATAGGTAACCCAAGCGATACGTATTTCTGCTGGTTCGCTTCATCAGGCCCGAAATGAATGCACATATGAAACTACAAAAGTAGATACACATGCCCACACATCCGGATACGGGTGTAACCTGAGGAAACGAAGTTGGAGGGGAAAAATTGATCATATTCTCTTTATATATATATATATATATATATATATATATATGTATATATATATTAAACTTATCTTATTGTATTTTATTAAATGATATACTCTGAATTTATTATTATTTTGCAAAAAAGATTCATGCATGATATAAATAAGAGGTGAGATTATTATTATGTACCCGATTTACTCTCGTCGGTAATTTTCTTAATGATTTAATTCGACTAACTGATATTGTGCAGCATGAAATCTTGTCAAAAAGGGAAACGGCATTTAATATGCAATTGCACTAAATTTGAACTTCCAGACCAACTTGAAATTAAGTTTGATATACACAAAAACGTAATTTGCATTTATTATCTGTATTTTCGACTTTGATACTAAAGTTTAGTCATAATTTTCAATTGGTCTGGAGAGTCAAATTCAATGTATTTACATGCTAAATGTTGTTTCTCTTTAACGCAGGCCTTCAGGTGTATATCATCAGTTGAATAAATTAAGTCATTAAAAAATGACTGAGAAAACTAAACAGGGTGCATAACATCAGGTTTTCCTTTCATTTATAAAATAATAAATGAATAAAAATGGCGGATTTTAAACACAGACGTCAACTTTGAGATTTCTATTTCACGGGCTACACCCCAAATAGCTTGAGGATTTTGACATTTGAGATGTCCTAAGATTCGTCTTGGTTCTTTATTCCTTTCAGTCACTATAGTCAGATTGTTTGTATTTCTAAAAAATGTACATGTCCTTCTCTATGTGTCTGAGGAGGGGCGGCACATCTCCATAATTCCGAACTGGCAAGCTAATTTTCCAGGATGTTTTAAAAACAAAAATAAAACATACACGCCACTTTTTACTTAAAAAATGGGTTCCCTATTAAGAATATTTTACCTCTTAAGCAGAAGCCCAGGAAGCATATTCCTCTATTGACCCCCCAAATGGGCGCCCATGATGACAAAGATTGCCAGGATCTGTTGTCTTCATTTAAGAACAAACAATTGTGTGAAAAATCTAAAATTATCTATAATAGGGTTTGTGACAGTAGACACAAGTGTTAATTGATTTTTTATTATGATACGATTTGATATCAAGCGACATGTTTTCGCACAATTAATCAGATTGAAGTGGAACCAAAACATATTACCGTATACTGTGATTATCATATCATTTTGGGTGGTGTAACTATTTGAAACATAAGGTATGAGTTTCATTATTATTGAATGTGGTTTATGAAATAAAACAGTTAAATATTTGTAAGTAATAAAAAGGGTAAAAGAGGTTCATATGTTATTTTGTTTTCTTGAATAGGTACTTCAAAAGTGGAATGAAATTTCTATTTATTGATGTACATTTATAAAATCAAACAAGTTTGCCACTCATTGTTTTAAGATGACATTTGAGAGTTCTCAACATCTCAACTGGAAAAAATATTTCCAAATATGTGTGGACATAGAATATCGTTAACCAAATTCCAAATCGATACAGCTGTTACTGAGATTACGATACAACAAAAATGCCAACAGGCAAGCGTAGGAATGTGTGATCTGTGTCAATTGCAACTTCAATTGGATCAACTGAGATTACAAAGACTGTCTGCACTCACCATTTTCGTTCCTTAACATTTTCAGAGTATACTCAAAATGAAGTTTATCCTAGTTCTTGCCCTTATTTCTGCTTCTTTGTCGCAGATGTCCGCAAAATAAAATTCACGTAAGTTGTAACTTATACTTAAATAATATTAATTTTATTTGAAAGCTAGCCAGTTAATCTAAACAGAATATAAATTAGGTAAAACAAATGTTAGAAACTTAACTCCATCTTTATCTATTTACTTTATTTCAGGGCGCGTAGTCTGCTATGTAGGTACCTGGGCTACATATCGTACCGGAAACGGCAAATTCGATATCGAGAATATCAACCCCAAATTGTGCACCCATCTCATATATACTTTTGTCGGTCTTCACGTCAACGCATCCATCCACATCTTGGATGCTAATTTGGACATTAACAAAAGTAAGTCATTCGCCTGGTTATTTTCGACGTCAATAGGTCGTATCAAGGTCGTATCAACCAAGGATACTGTAGCTAACTGATGTCGTTTCAAGATAAAGCTGACTAAGAAAAGTATGATATAAAATTTCAAAATTGATAAACTAACATGAGAAAATGGAAGGAAGAAACGCGTCTATAATTTGTCACACCATGCTACAAAATTTTCGAAACTGAGATAGTATGTTTGTGGATGTTATGTGATATGTACATCACGAAAAATCATGTAACTCATTTCAGTTGGTGTGTCTGTCGGTCTTTCCGCTAATCTTATAACCGCCTATAACTTTAGAAGTACCGCTCAGTTTTCGATGAAATTTTTGCACAATGTAACTACTATGTCAAGAACGTAAAATCTTTATAGTTTGTGAAAATCGGTTCAGAGGCAGCGAAGAAAGAGGCAAAAAAAATCGCCCAAACTTCTTTTTTTGACCTTTTAAACCTTAAAATGCTCTGTATTTTATGTTTGGGTTTGAGAGCATATTATATTTTACCTCTAAACAATCGCTTAAAATATCAAGAAACATAACAAACATGATCAAAGAGTCGGATCTATAGTTCAGCGAGCATCAAGCAGTCACTAAAAGTGTGGACGAAGAAAAATACCCTAGGATAGTGAAACGGCCCATTAAAGGCATATAAAAGAGTATAGATCAAGCAACGGAAGTCTGCACTTACAGACGACCTGCTCAGCTTTAATATGAAGGCGAAGCTCTTGGATGTAGCGGAAAAACAAGAGATCATCGCAGCTAATCTCTATGTTCAAAGGCCTGCCAGGGCTAAGGTTTTAGATATTTAGCATTTCGGTTCCTAAAGATGGAGTGAAGTGGTTGACAATATTGAACTTGCCTAACAAAGGAATTAAATAAATCAGTCAAATCAGGCCATACAATAATCAGTCCTCAGTCCCCACCCATTTGGCAGCGATACAATCTAAAAATGTCTGCTCTGCTCTACTTAAACTTAGGTACGACCCAGAGCTCGACGCGAGTATTGAAACTTTTTCTAACATTAAAACTTGAAGTGCAAATATACGGAAAAATCTACGTCTGAAGTATGTAAGTAGAATTACCAAAGATAAAATCGTATAAATATACTAACGTGTAAACTGCAATATACACTCTTCCACCCCTACCGCCCCACCCTCAATTTACTGCTGCTCAAAAGAATATTCCTTGAAACAAAATTTGAGCGATTTTCATATTTTTTGCCATAGCTATGCCGCCACTATCTTGATTTTTAAAATCTGCAAAACGTTTTCGTCTTGACATAGTAGTAACCTTATGTCAAAATTTCATCATAATTCAAGCAGAATCATCCAAGTTATATAGGGGTAGAGTAGACTGAGGCGAATTGGGTCAATGGGTGAACCGTGTCAAAATGAAATCCGTTAATATTTTGAAAGACGCATTGACACTGTTGTTCTTCTATTCTTCGTTGTCCGTCGGAGCAGTTCATAGGACCTTTGCTCTTGGTTAAATCATGGTAAGTTAGTAGGTTTGTCAGGTCTGGTTGCCCAGATATCAGACAAAGACATCGAGAAAGAAGAAAGAAGGGAAGAAGAACGAAAGGAACGAAGGGCGAAGAGCAAAGAGGAGGAAGTGCGTCTAGTACATTCGGTTTCAATGCGAAAACATTTACTAAAGTCTGACCAATTTTTCCTATATTATTTTTATTATTATGTTTACAACAGATTTTCAAAATGTCTACTACCGACTCTTAAACAAAACCTGCATCTTCTTAAAAATTGTCCTTTTAAACGTCTCATACTTAACGCAGTTCATCGGTTGATAGAACTGGTTTTTCCATAGACCTTATCTTTTAAACATCCCCAGTAAAAAAATCGAGAGGGCTCAGGTCTGGGGAGCGTGGGTGCGAGAAAATTGATCCTAGCCGGCAAATCCATCTTCGAGGAAATATTTCATCAACTATTACTACAGTAGCATAGTGCGCAAGGCACCCATCATTCTGTAGCCACATCCTTCTTGTTGTCTCAAGAGGCTCATCTTCCAAAAGGATGTGTAGATGACGTTGAGAAAAATATAAGTAAAGACAAAACTTGGAATTATTAAAATTTTAGTAGAAAGAACCTACAAATGTTATACTATTTTTAAAAGAGCGTTAAAGAGTATAGTTTTAAAGATCATTTTCCGATTCAGTTTGGTACATTTCTTTTACAGTAATCAGTCAAACGTAGTGAAGGTTTACACATTGAAACAAAATGTAATATTTTTTTTAGCGTACCCTGTTAGTTTTCAATGAAATGAATATTCGGCCGTCTCAACCAACTATTAATGGTAGTCCATGAGAAAAAATCATAAATTAGAAGTAGAAGTTCTTTATAGCCATAGCAGGCAAAAACGACCAAAAAGTAGGGATTTTTTGTGGCAATATCTCGAAAACTAGAAAACTTTCATGGTCATGGTCATTTCTGATTTAATTTGATTGATCTGAAGCCAATATACCTTCGGTGTCACTCTGGCGTGTTATTTCTGGTTCACCCTGTATAAAAGTATATACTAATTTAGACTTTTTGGCGCGTTATCCAGTGTTATCGGTTGTAATTGACGAGCCGCACCGCGGAGTTCGTATCTCTGTTTTCTAGGCAATAAAAAAATCGTAATCTAAATTGAGGAGGTGGTTTTAACAGTTGCAACCACACATATGTTTTGATTTATGCCTTGAGGTCCTCCGTGTGTCCATGCATGTTTTCTAAAATGCGTACCAAACTGAAGGGTTAAAAAATGGCGTCAAATAGATTGACTCTATACTTCCTACGCCTTCGTTGGAGGTTTCAAAGAAAAGGTATGAGTCAAATCGTTTAAAAAGTCGAAACGTGGTTAATTAGGTTCACAAGTACAATTAATTTTTGACCTCAGCATATCAAACTATATATAGCAAATCAAAGCAATATTTCTGTTTCGATGCCAGATGTATTGAAAATATGTGTGACTTACTATGTCTAACAGGTGCATAGTATCAGCTAGATCAGCAACTTCTTAATAACAGAACGTCTTTCACTGATACCAAATATGCAACAATTTACATCCATTTACCGCATACAGCATCCAACCTAGAACCTTTATCCCCTTCAAGCAATGACTGGAAATGAACAAGAACATCCGAAACGTTGTAACACTGTGTTTCAGGGATTTTATTTCCGGCGCATCTGAAAACAATTTCAAAATCTACGACTACCTAAACGATGGAAGTATCAAACCCCTAATGTTTTAACTTCGGCTCACATGTTTTCTGTTATTCAAAGATATCTGCATCACACAAGTCCGTGTTTCTCATTTATGAGCAGATTACCTATACATCAGACTTTTTATCATTTAATTTTCCCGTTGTTACCGGGATCAAAAGCTTCTTGATGATAAAACGTTTTTCATTAACACTAAACCCCCATTTACATCGCCTACAACCCCCATCCCCAAGGATCAATCCCTCCAACAAAATTTCCGAAAATGATCAGAAGCCTCTGAAACGTCCAAAACGACGATTAGGCGGTTTTTATTTTTGTCGTGTTTTTACCACTAGCTGCGCCACCACCAAGGCGATTTTAAAAAAATACACATATTTTTCATCCTTGGCATAGTAGTACTTCTGAAGTTATGGGTGGTTATAAAATTAGTGCACAGACAGTCCTACGTTTTTAGTGATGTATCCAAAAAACATAATATCTCGATTTCGAAATTTTTAGCAACTACAATACTTCCTGGCATAGGAAGTAAAAACATATATTAATTTAAAAATCCCTCACGACTACAACACTCAAGACAATACCTCCTCACCAGTTAACGTGGGAAGTAAAACAGAAAACTACATGCATAGAATCGTATTATGGCTAACAAATCTGATCAAAACTGGATACAGTGCTTCAGAGCTTGTATGCATATGGAGGGGTGGAGTAGATCCGTATGTAAACTCTAATCGATTAGTTCAGCAAAGAAGTTCATAAAAGTCCTCCTAGTAGGTTTTCTCTGAAATTTCTATTTAGTACCATAATTTAACGAATTGAACAGAACTTTTAAATTACTGACAGAGAGCCTATGTGGTACGTATTCTTACCTTTCACAGAGGGCTACAAGAGATTCCAAGCACTCAAGAAGGAGAATCCTAGTTTAAAAACGTTGCTCGCCATCGGAGGATGGAACGAAGGTTCAACTACTTACTCCACCATGCTCAGTGATTCTAACCTGAGGAGAGCCTTTGTGAAAAATGCTGTGGAGTTCCTGAAAACGCATGGCTTTGACGGTTTGGACTTAGACATCGAGTACCCTGGACAAAGAGGAGCTGCTGCATCAGATAAGGTAGATTAGAGAATCAAAATTGATGGAAGTTATCACATTATATGGTAAATGCTAATGGTCATGTTTCTGTGTATATTTGTAGAAGTTTCAATACTATCTTGAAGTCTCCGACAAGCAGTGTGTGATTTTGGTAGTACACGAAACTGGAGGTCTAGCCTCGTCCCTAAGTAGGCAAGAGAAAACAAGTATCTCACGTTATACCTGTAATGCATGTTGTGTGATATGATTTATACTATATATTGTGAAGGGATTTATAATAATAAGTTTGTAGTGTACTGGATAAGTCAAGTTTCGAATTGTTAAATTCTTGACCCGCCAAACGGTAGATTTTCGTGGATTCACTTGGAAATTCATGAGTGTCAAGCGAACTTCAAGGACTTGAGTCCAATGTATCCGTAGTTAGAAGGTTTTAAAATAGGAAGGAACAAGTGATTCGATATTCATGCAAAGCTCTACTCAGCCGAAGCGAAACTACCCTGGAAACTACTGTGTTACCAGAGAGACACTTTAGTTGTGGGTAAGGCGATGAACCATTTGTTCAGGATTTTATTTGTATTATACAGGGTGTTTCAGAACTATCGGATCAAACTTGTAGAGGTTATTCAGTGTAACAGCAGAAAACATTTGAGTATAGGGACCCATATCCGGCGCTTGTGTGATGTTATCTTTAAAAACGATAACAGAGACTGTTTTTTGTAGCTGCATTCCATATCGCGTTAGTCGTGCTATCGTATTTGTGAAGTTTGCAAGAATTTAACAAAAATTAATTGTTGCTAATGGAAAACTTTACCAATCAAGAATTGGCGGATATGCATTTGGCATACGGAGCATCAAGCTGCAATGCACGAGCAGCAGCGCGGTTGTATCAAGAACGTTATCCCGAATGACAGCATCCGGGATCCAAAACGTTTATTGCTATTCATCGGCGGCTCTCCGAAACAGGCATGTTTAAAACCAAGATGCATGATACTGGTGTTGCTCGAACCGTAAGAACGGTCGAATTTGAAGAAGAGGTCCTTCAGCGAGTTGCCGACGAACCATCAAGTAGCACACGTCAGATTGCTGAGGGTATGAATACGAGTAACGATTCCATCTGGCGGGTGCTACACGAGCAACAACCTTATCCTTACCACTTCCAGAAAGTTCAAGGTTTGACTGCACCCGATTATCATCCTAGAGTTCAAGTTTGTCAATGGCTTCTTCATCAAATCGCTGCACAACCAAATTTTTTTACGCTATGTTTTATGGAACGATGAAGACTCTTTCACAAGAGACGGTATTTTTAATAGTAGGAATAGCCACGTTTGGGACAAAGAAAATCCCCATGCAATTTTTCCTAGAAATCATCAGCAACATTGGTCTGTCAACGTAACGGCAGACATTGTTGATGATTATTTGATTGGGCTATACCTTCCACCGGAACGGTTAACAGGACCTATTTATCGGCGTTTCTTGGAGGAAGTTCTTCCAGAACTTCTTGAAAATAGTCCAGTGAACGTTCGACAGCAAATGTGGTTTCAGCATGATGGAGCGCCGGCTCACTTTGCTGTACAAGTACGTGAGTATTTGGCTCAGCGGTTTGAGCACCGTTGGATTGCCAGAGGTGGAGCAGCTTCTTGGCCTCCTAGGTCACCCTATTCAACGTCGCCAGATTTTTTCCTGAGGGGACATGTAAAGTCTTTGGTTTACGAAACGCCAGTAGAAACAGCAAGACTTAATTGCACGAATTACAGCAGCATTTGAAATCATTCCAAACGAGTATCAAATTTTAGTCAAGTCCGCCGAAATCATGTGCGACGTTTAAATCGGTGTATTCAGGTTGGAGGAAGACATTTTGAACAATTGTTGTGATGATATCATGTACAAAAGGCAAAAATTAAATGCATTAAGTCCTATTTAGGCAATTCATCGCCTTTCTAAATTTTAACGCGTCTTAGGGCCGTAGTGCCGTAGTGGCACTTTTCCGGATATGGGTCCCTGTACTCAAATGTTTTCTACTGTTACACTGAATAACCCCTAGAAGTTTGATCCCTTAGTTCTGAAACACCCTGTATATAGCAGATAATTTCTGGTTAGAATAGATCGTTCAGCCTTTGAGTTACCACTTTACTTCCTGGAAGTCCATTGGCGATTGAGGATATCTTTGTTATCAGTCATCAATATAAAAGTGTTTTTTTTTTCAAAAAGACCTTGCCCACACAAATAAAATCACGATAGTAAATTAGAGGATCGCGAACTCACAACTCAAGCAGATTCTCAAATGGAGATGGGCAGAGTAAGACCGCATTTTTGAGCAACTTGTTGGGAAATAAAAATAGCACACGGTTTTACTAGTAAATCTTTTTCAACGATAAATTTCAAACATCTTCTAAGAGACCAATGTATCTAGAATTTCAGAAAAAATTGTAAAGTCTGATTTAATAGCAATAATATATTCTTGAGGGTTAATGAAAAAGAAAAAAATTTTATGGGTAACTATTTTTACTTACCGTCAAGTTGAAAAATCATTTTTTCCCATATATTCAAAAAACTTTGAAGTTGGTAAGACTACTTCATATGAAAGCATTATCAAATTCAATTTTTACTTAAATCCAGAAAAAAAATCGTCAAAAACGTTAAACTATCTGAACATTTCTAAATGCCACTAATTTTTTTTAGGTTAATGGCCATTTCTTACGAACTCTCTAGCAACGTAACCGCTGCATTTCAAATGCCTTCCCTTCCTCTACAGCTTTTCTGTGGACCAATACTTCACAGTCTTTTGAATATATACAACAAAATTCTCCAACGTTTATTAAAAAAATTACCCAGAAGAAATGTTAGTATCTCTAGTTAGAAACCTTTTCATTTCCCCTTAAGAATATAGTTACATAGCCAAATCCATCAATACATTTTTCCGTTCTGTTTTTGACTACTAGCCTGATCTCAGTAACATGCAAAGGGGCTCGTAGCTACTATTGAGCCAAAAGGTTCGCCAACGACACACAACTCTGTTCTTGTAATATACATAATGGAATAATCGACATAAATGATTTTTATAACCTGATGACACCAAATCGAGTCTCCAATAGTCTCAACACTGAAGCCCTTTGTCCACACTTGAAGCCTAAGGGAAAAATATTGGGTTATGTACATTTCGCTATTCCTCGGCAATTAGCCTCTTCAATCTCTTACTCTTTTTCCAGGAGAACTACTCAAAATTGATTGAAGAATTGAGAAAGGCATTCGAGTCACATGGTTTCCTGCTATCTGCAGCTGTACCTTGCACTGGAAGCTCTGCCGATATTTCCTACGAAGTTCCAAAATTAAACGAGTAAGTTCATTATAAAGACATATCCTGTTGATAAAATATTATATTATTGCTTTTGCAGATACCTAGATTTCATCAACGTTATGACCTATGATATCCATGGTTCGTATGATGGTGCAGTAGGTCATGTGGCCCCATTATACGCTTCATCTGTGGATAAATCTCAATCTGCTAAACTGCTCAATGTGGTAAGGAATTACGAACACTGTACTTAAACAATTATTCATATGTAATACTTATATCAGTAGAGAATACGTATATTTTATTAATAAGAATTCAATAGGTAGGAATGTTTAGTTTTGATTTTGGAGTAGCTGGTCATTCTAAGCTACAAAGTTGACCTGCGCTGCCTAATCTGCTCCTGCTATGAACTTCACGTTCTTTTAATTAACAATTCAGGACGAATCGATTAAAGCTTGGATCCAGAGAGGTACTAGTCCACAAAAACTGAACTTGGGTATTCCACTCTACGGTAGAACTTTCACACTTAAAGACCCAAAACATGTCGAGATAGGAGCTAAAATTACTGGCCCAGGAGCTGCAGGACCTTACACCAAGGAAGCTGGCACTTTAGGATATAATGAGGTAGGCTACTTTTACATTATTAAAGATACAAATTTCAGCATTTTTTGCCCTTAGTGCGAGTAAATGTTTCTATCTATCAGGATGTATCATTGTACTTGTCCTCGATAAAACAAACATTGGAACATATTTGCTATCTACATACATCTACATTCCAGGCTTTGTTATCAAGAATATTTCTGTAGTAACTTTTATACTATCTTTCAAAGACACGCGGTCATATGTAATATCTTGCATTAAATTGATCCAGGTTGTTGAACTACAACAAAAAACAAAATGGACTGTCGTTTTTGATGACGAGCAAAAGGTACCCCATGCCTACCATGAGGACCAGTGGGTTGGATACGATGATCCAAAGTCAATCAAAATCAAGGTATGCGTTCCTAGAATTACACCCATTTTTTAAATGTTTTCAAAAACATAAAGATATGCGATCTAATGCTCGGATAGAAGGCGTTGGACAACTACAAACATTTGGAGTTTGTTACAATTAATGGGAGCTATTCGGCTATTCGGCTAAGATTTTTTATTCAAATTGGTGACACTCCCCGTTACACCAACTTGCTTATTTTAAATGAGCTTCCTTGTATGTCATTAAATTGTTGGATTGAACGCAAGGTGATAAGCAAATTTCATGTATACATGAACCCAACCGTTTGTAAGATATTTCAAATTTTTTGTAAGAAATAATTAGTTCAGGCTGGTGAATAATAATCATCCCATTTTTCCGTAATTGAGTGTGAAAAATAGTTTCAAAAAAACTCCAAAGATCACTCTTTTTATAAGGTTGTCTACTTTTCAGATTAGTAGATTCTTAGATAAGTACTTTGAAAGATACGTTTTCCTATTGCAATAGTGCCCCACACGACACTCTGTATATTTTTTAAGATCAAATGAAATGTTGCAACGTTAAAGATAATATCACAGGATAATATATTCGGACCAAAAGCTCAACCATTAATAGTGCTAGTACTTCTATCTGTTTGCATTAACCATTTGTGAGATTCAACGACTACGTCAACTCATGGTGGAATAGCAGCATATGGTGTGTTGATACAAATCATTTTCAGGTGGCGTACGCAAAATCAATGAATCTTGGAGGAATAATGGTATGGTCAGTCGAAACCGATGACTTCTTGGGACTATCTGGAACGAAGAATCCTCTGCTTACTACTATAAATAATGAATTACACTAAATTTTGTATAGCTCTTTTTTTAGTTAAAGACGTTTACAAATAAAGATACAAGTATTACCGACAATACCGATTTTTGAAATGCATTATGCAAACGAAATTATACAGTTAAGTTAAAATGAAACTGTTAGAAACTGATCACGAAACTGAAACTGCAGCCCAAGCCCTTGACCAGAGCTGAGCTTTCAAAATTTCCAAAAATATTAAACTTTTAAAAACTTTTAATACTTTGAAAGACTTAAAAAATTGAGAATTCCAAGTTCTGAAATTTTTGGAGATTTTTAAAATTCTAACGGATAAGGAAATTTCGGCGAGCTTGAAACATTTGGAAACTATGAGAATGTTGAAAATGATGAATTATTGAAACTTTTGAAGATCTTAAAAATCTTGAAAACCTGTATGACAACTGTTAGTCTACTGTGAAATACAAATGTTAAATTTTTACTTGAGGGTCACCCGAGAGTGCGTTATTATATCATCCAAAATCAAAGAGCTGAATAACACTCAATCGGCACTTAACATTCAAGGATCGACTATAAATGACGAGAAGTCAAAAACATAAAAAAGAGTTTGAGATACTTCAGTCTTTTTTACTTCGTGCGCCAATGAGCGAGTAGTACCTACAGTGATCACGAAAGATTTCTCAAATGAGATATAACATTTTTTGGATGTTACATGACATGTACATCACAAAAAATCATGTCACTCATTTCCGTATGTTTGTCTGTCTGCCAATCTTTGAACCGCCTATAACTTGGGCAGTATCGGATTTGAATGAAATATTCACTCAAAGTTACTACTACGCAACGAACGAAAAAGCTTTGTAGATTTTGAAAATAGTCCAGTCGAACCGGAGCTACGGGCAAAAACACGAAATAAATAAAAATTTCAGAGGCTCTTGATAATTTTCAGAAAAGTTCTTACATGTTCTAAGAGGAACTAACTTGTGCCGAATATAATCCCTTATGAATTGATCAGAGGTTTGCGTTGGAAGTGCGGGGTCAATCTCCTGTAATCGTTGGACTGTACCACTTTCAAAAACTTTACCTACTTTGTTTTCACAGCATACTGATTCCAAATTTTTATATCCGATTTTGACATATGAGGTGTCGTTGGATGCGACTCAGCAGAGCACAACCTTAAAATTTCTATTTGAAAGGCAACAACTTTTTGGATTTTGGCATGTCTTAGGCCCGTATCGTCAGTCGTCCCTACAATTGAAGGGCGCGTTTATGGCCTCCTCAGAAGTGCGAGCGACATTGACTATATTAAAATTTTATAAAAACAAAGTCGCGGAAATTAGTAAATAAGTTCAAGCTTGAACTACCTATTTCACGGGCTAGAGCTTAAAGGGTTTGATGGGTTTTGACTGATTAGGTGTTGTTAAATTTGTGTTAGCAGTGCGACTGACATTGGCTATATTAAATTTCTGTCAACAAAACAGTGTCGGGTTTAAATAGAAAAAATTGACCTTGAAATTCCTAAATCAGTGACATAGAAAATGAGTCAATATTTTCGCGATCACTATCGCCTCTGCCTCTGAACTGCGGAAGTAAAGGTAATATTAACATTGCTCCAAAATTTGTCATTCTCAATCGTAGTTTGCGTTTGGTTTCTTCATTTTTATGATTCTGTATCTAGACGGAAAGGCGATCAGCCAAGATCACAGCATTGGGCCCCTTGTGGGGCCTTCCCAGGAGTCGCTCAGATCAGAATCATCAACCACCCCGCACCATTAAAGAAAGTGATGTTGCGACCCATGAATGTCTCGGCTCCCTGCTCGCATTCCATGTTATGTAGCTAACAGTGTCCAGTCGCAAACCCAATTTGTTGTCAGGACTTCTTCACTAAGATATCTTAGGAATCATACAACTAATAAGCAACCCTACAACACCTGTGGGTGTGCTCTTTTAGTATAGTTGTCATAGGTAAAATGATGTGGCTCTGGGCCCCGATCAGCAGCCTTTTTTGCCAGTTTATCAGCTTTTGCGACCACCAAGCAACAGTTATGTTGTTACTGGTGGAGACATTCACAAGTGCCAAATGACAGTCTAGTACTGTTATCGTTGACAGTTTTCCATTTTTTATCATGTTAACATTGCATTCGCAAGTGCAGAAAAAAGTTTTATTGCTATTTCAGCTTCAACTGTTATTTAATCGTTCGTGTTATTGCCAAAATGCACATTTCTCGAACGACTGGCTACAGTCTCTTGCGCCACTATGTAATGCAATAACTCAATAATTACAAATATTTGCTTTATCCGGGACAAAAAGTATGGTTCGGTAGAATTAGACATGTATGGTAAAATTAATATCTATCAAAACTATAACAATCCAAGGAACGTAAGTTTCATAGATTTGCAAGTTATACAAGTTTCTAAAGCGAAACTCAATTTTTAAAAATATTCTCATTCTTTCACCTATTTCAACAGTAATTTCCCTGTTTCAGTATCCTTGAAATCATGTTTAGGGCACGGTGCACGTAAAATAAGTGAAATTACCATTTGAAAATTTAAAAAGCAGAGAATGCAGCTTACGCAGAATCCCCATAATGATTTTTTTACTTCAGAAATCACATTTGACAACATGGTAACGCGATGAAGTTTTTATCAATAATAACTAACACCTCCCTGTCTGTTGTACAATGGTTGTTAAAAAAAACTGATAAAAATAATGTGGCTTACAGCTAAAATACAACAAAAACAAAAAAGCATCTGGTTTTGATCACCAAGTGCCAAATGTGTCCTAAGGTCTAAGTTGTTGTTGTTATTAAACACAGTAAAAGGAACAAAAATATAGTTAATAAAGAAAAAATATTCTAATACTATAAAATGTTGAAATTTCGCAGCGCATTGTTTGTTTAAGCTTTTGTAATTCCTGTTAGCACTGTCATAATATTAATTATTATTGCTAAGCCTAAAGCGACTGCCGACTGCCACGCACGACCATCAGCCAGACCACGGCGCACATATCGACACGCGACTGTTGGAGATATTTCTAAGGATAGCAGTCAAATAAACAGACCGACAGACCTATAGACCAAACGACAGACATATAGACTAAGGGAAATAGACAGACATAGTTTTCCTGATGTACAGGTCAAACAACATCTAAAAAACCGCTCATATTCGAAATTCCTTGCCAGTTTGCGTGAGAAGTAAAACTGGAAACAAGCGAAAATTCTGCCGAAGGATCACAAGTTGGGATGGCAAGATGACTCTATTATATTATTTTACGTTATTTTGGAACACATTTTAATATCAGTGCTTAGTATTACTCTATTTGTTATTAGAAGTAAACTTAAAATACGAGTTGGATTCATAACCTCTAAAGAGAAAAGCTGTACGGGAAAGATTCATCGTACTTAGTTTAAACAATGAAACTGTTTTTTAAATACATTATTCTAAAACTGGGATGGGATTTTACTAATACCACTGATCTAATTCCTGTTACCAGGCCAGCTGTGCGTATTTTATTTATAAAACACAGCCGAATAGTAGTTTGAAGCGTTGTCGCTGAACTATACTTAATCACTTTAGCGGAATAATGATAATAATATCAGTCATTGAGTCGAATTGAACGGTGGTACCTAATACGCTTTCGCGGTACAACCTCACGACTCCATCGCAGTTTGTGGAACAGTTTACTCGCGACCGTGCGCGTACTCTGATCGTGGCACCATGGTGAAATCAAGGGTGAAGGACTTGGACAAGCTGCTGGCCAAGTTCATGGGCGAGAAGGTGGAGATCGTGGACCAGAATACCAGGCTTCTGACCGCGCCTGGTGAACACTATGGATCTGTGATGCTCGCGCTGGACTTAAAGGTTAGACATTCCAATGGAGATGAGGAGAGACTGGATTTGGTTGCCAAACTATTACCAGCCAATGAGATGCTGCGGTTAGCTTTTGACATTTACGTGACGTTCAAAAAGGAGGTTTTTGCTTATACGGAGGCGATTCCAACACTGGTGCTTTTGCAGGTAAGTGATTGACAGAAAAATTGGATGAAGATTGTGACACCTGATCAAAGGTCGCGTTCATTATGAAACATCCTTACTTAAGGAATTATTTAGTAGGTTTACACGTTCATTTAAAGTGAAACTTGTTAGTTATAATCTAGAACTAGTTGTGCACTATACCACATTTTTTTTCATTTCATTTGTGTGATTCGTCTTAAACTACTGTTTATACATACTAACTAAAATCTATCTATCATACAATATCCATAGGCAGTGACACCAACTTACTGTATACTTGTGAGTTTCACATTATCTGGCTCTTAACTTAATGACAAATGAGGAGGTGGTCTGAAGGCGATAAATGCTAGTGGCAGTATAAGTTACGCTGTTTTTTTATTAACGCGAAGCTCACCATCACGTTCCCAATATACAGGGTGGCCCATAAGTCCTTTGAGCTGGAAAAAAAGGAATAAAACCAAACTAGTTACATTATGAAGAATTATTATATTTTGTTATCATCTTTATTGAATGGGAATTATGTTTTAAAAATCACATCGTCTAAATGCAATCCATTACGATCACGGCACTCATATAAACGACGTCTAAAATTGTCGATGACTGCGCGGCAAGTCAGCACTGCAATGCTTGCCATTTCTCTTCGGATATTTTCTTTCAGGACATCAACTGATCGCGGAGTGGTGTCGTACACTTTACTCTTGAGGTAGCCCCATAAAAAGAAGTCCATTGGGGTCAAATCTGGACTACGTGGTGGCCAGGAAATGTCTCCTCTTCGAGAAATTACTTTGCTGGGAAAAAGTTGACAGACGACGGGCATAGAAGTGTTGGAGGTGTGGGCAGTTGCTCCGTCCTGTTGAAACCAGGTCTGCGTATTATAGCCTGGAAAATTCTGCAACGCTGGTGTCAAAAACTCTTCTATCATTGCTACATACCGCTCCGAAGTAACAGTTAATGCGCGACCTCTGTCGTCCTCAAAAAAATAAGGGCCTACGATGCCATGCGCTGACATAGCAGCCCAAACTGTAACTTTAGGGCTGTGTAAGGGCTTCTGATGTTTACGCCTTGGATTTTCGGGGCTCCAATAACGGCAATTTTGTTTATTTACATGCCCGTTTAAATGGAAGTGAGCCTCGTCCGAGAACAACACATTATTGATCGAAGAAAATCGATTCAACATTTCATTCGCAAAGTTTAGTCTCTGAATTTTGTAAGTGTGCAGACGTAAATCTTTCCTTAAAATCCGCTGTAAAGATGTTCTGGGTACGTTTAGTGCACTGGAACGCTTACGAGTAGACTGTGTAGGATTTTGACGAACAGACTGTGCCACAATGTTGATGTTTTCTTCAATACGAATTGTCCTTGGTCGACCCCACCGCTGTTTATCTAACGTCGAACCAGTCTCTTCGAACTTAGCAACCCAGTTCTTAATCGTTTGAGCTGTTGGACACTTTGTAAAATTGTGTAAATTGTGGTATTCTCGATATTTACGCCGCGCAATGGTTGCCGAATCATTATTTTGATAAAACGCGCGCACACAAAAAGTACGATCCGCTCCAGTGAAACACTCCATGGCGACTGAATTCCCAGACACTGAAGATACTGCCCCCACCTCGCCCGCGCCGCTCACGCTCACCCGTTAAATTTTATTCAAATTTGAAATTTCAAAGGACTTATGGACCACCCTGTATTACACCAGTTCCTTGAATTAAGATGTATTTTGAAAATATCCGTTAGTTTATTCTTTACGCCCAAATAATGATTTTATTTTGAGTGTACACATTTTTTCATAGTGAATTGTGTCGAATCTGTTTAGGATTCATTCATTCATTCAACCCAATAACGTAACTTCAGCAACACTCTTGATAAGCTTGCTCAAAGCTCTTAAAAATGAAGAAAATCTATGTGATTTGATTGAATTATTATCCGGTACATATTCGGGGTGGGGTAGGAAGGTAGACAAGGTTTGTCTATAAGATTATTTGTTTATGGATTCTAATGTATATTCTGTATTAACAACAATTATGCAATACTACACTATATTGTATTAATATCAACTTCTTCTACGTAATCAGGTAGTCAAATTCGGGGCTCTTTAATTTTACCATAATCTGCCTCATATTTAAAGTGGGATATTTCCACATTGTGTAGTCGATTGTACATGTTGAAAGTAGTACAGTCGCAGCACTAAATGTAAAAGGTTTCCAGTTTTTTACAAAATTTATTTGAAACTACAACTCTATTTAGTACAATAGAAGAAGTTTTACGGTAAAATAAAGTAAATAAATGAAATAAAATATGTTATTATAGTAGGCTCTTGTGAAATAAATGATCTCGAATCATTGGAGTTTGGTCGAAAATGTATTTATACATCTTTACAAACATATTGAATCCGGATGCTTAATAATATCCTTTGTTTCTCCAAAGAAATTCTAGCTCTATCTGTGCATCTGATAGCATTGTTTAATTATCTGAATCTAACAGGTGGTCAACGATAGATTATGGATTGGAAAGCTGGCTCCTGTTAACTGACCTCCTAGCCTAGGTCGCATCTACTATTAAATTTTTGCGGTACAAGTTAAATTTCTTTATAGCAATTTCAGTACAGAATCAGCCATGTACAGAATATAGCCAATCTTTTAAAATATGTCATATTGAATGATAAAAAGCATATTAAGATTGCCACTTTTTTTTCTCAGAATTTCAATATGACGTTTCGTCTCTTGTTCTCCATCATCAACTTTTTTTTTCTAAAGAACGCCATTTTGGATTTTTGCTCAGATGAATAGAGTTTTGAATTCTAATTTCAAAAGTGTATAATAGTAGTTACTGTAAAAAAACAGAATTTCCTGGGTAGACCTTGAAATCATCAGATAGTCATTTGTATCGCATACCAGATTTATTCCAAAATCACTTTCATGTTTTCCTGACTTTATTTGAGACGGGATTTCAAAATAACTTGCATTGTGTCGTTGTCACTTATTCTCCTCTTCTTCTTCTTTCAACTACCACCACCTCCACCTTGTTTTTTCATATGAAAATTATGAGGAAACAAAAAGGACACCTGAACACAAAATGAAAATATTATTGATGGTAATAACAATAATAATCATAAATATGGAGGGATAAATCATAGCAGATGTTCGAAATGTTGACCATTATTTACTTCTCTTCTTCTCAGACTTCCAAACTCTGTTGCTATTTTCATTTTGAGGTATACGAAACAAATGAAATCTGATAATTTCAAGATCTACCTAGGAACTTGTTTTTTCTGGAATAACTAAGGTTTAGCAATGTCAATGTATAACATATTAACATTTTTTAAATCAGAATTGAAAACTTATTCATCTATTCATCTACGCAAAGATCCAATATGATCACCATAAGAAAAAATAAAGTTAATGCTGCAGGACAAAAGACGAAACGTTATTTTGGAATTCTAGATGTGGCATCTTGTAGAGGAGAAAAAGTGACAATGTTAACTTGCAATTTATTTTAGAATCTTATCCCAAATAAAGTCAAGAAGAAATAAAACTGATTTTGGGATAAATCTAGTAGGCGAAACAAATGACTGACTGTCTGATAATTTAACGGCCTACCTAGGAAATTCTGTTTTCTTTTTAAAATAACTACGGTTTGGCAATATCAATATATGACGTATTATAGATTTTTGGAATCAGGACTAAACACTCTGTTAATCAAATATGGCGTCTATAAGAAAAAATAGAGTTGATGCTGGAGGACAAGAGGTGAAACGTCATATTGAAATTAATATTATGCCATCTTGTAGAGTGGAAAAAGTGTCAATGTTAATGTGCAATTAATTTTGAAATCCCGCTCCGGAAGTACTTTCAATTTCGGAAGTTTACAAGCGGCATTTTGTTGATTACCTAAATACCCAACTTGCTCCCATTTGAGCGATCTTGTATCTCTTGCAGTTTCCGAGATCCCACTGGTGAGGATCGAATTTTCAGCTCTAAGATCATAAGTCATAATTGTTTGCAATGCTACATCAATATAGACTGTCTATAGAAAATAGTAATTCTACACAAGCAATGGGCACTATACAAAGTATACTATTAACCATAACAGGCCCACTGAAATTAACATCAATAAATTTTGTAGATAACGTTTATCATACCTTGTAGATCAATAAAGATAAATAAATTGATACCAAATTAATATTTCCTCTCCAATTTATGTCTGAATCTGCGTAGCTGAATTGCCTTGACCGAGATCCAGTATGTTTGAGAATTGTACAAAGTATAACCCAACAGTAACCGCGTCAGATAGTAAATACTGACATATGTATATCTAGTGTTGTATATTTTAGCATGAAGTTCTTCCGTATACGTAGCGTTTTCCACCACCCTGTATTGCTCAAATAGTGACCCAATGGTGTTAAACAATACAGACCTTGCTGCAAAACTCTTATCTTAGCTTCGGGAGGAACAGAGTAACGTTAATTCTTTGCCATAAAATAAGTTTTTACTTAAGATCGACTTGTATTTAGGATAAATAGTGTCCTAATAAGGAACTTGGGATTATTTACTTTCGGTTAATACTGTATTTAGATTCCTTTCAGTCTGTACAGATGAGACTCAAGTCGTTAGAGGAATAGCAATCAATAATAGGCCATGCTGTTGTACATAACTAAGTGGGTTGGCGTAATATTTTTAAAAAAAATTTATATCTATAAGAATTAATTACCAATTGATAAGATAAATTATTTTGATAAAAAGCTACCAACGATAACAAATAACAATGTTAAGAAACAATAATAGTGTTACAATATGTTATGTTAATTATACAATACAATCCTATTAAAAGCCTTGACAACAATATACCTACGTAAACTTGGTCCTCCTAAAATTTGTATAATAAGCTTAAAATAATTAAATTTTTCGTTATGCTGGTAAAAAATATATGGGATAAATCCCATGTGACTATTTTTAAATGTTATTTTTCAGAGCTTGAAGTGTTCCGGAAATCCAACTCAATCTGAGCCATGGGAATAAGTACGAATCCTAAAAATAATAAGTGAACATTGTGTTCAAAAATTGAATTGCCTCAATTTATGCTTCAATAGACTATGCAAAAAAAATTTTTTCCGGGTAATGAGAAAAACTATTAGCGTTGTGTTCGGCATTAGTGTTAAACATGATAACGTAATTTTAGGTAATTTTGCCATTAGTAATTTTAACGAATATCGTAGTCCAAAATACGCATGACCTCGATTTAATGTATTACCGTGGAACATTAATTTGTAAATAATTTGACACGCCTTGCCGTTATCAGGTAAAAGTTTAAAAATCGTCTGAGAAAATTGAGTTCAAAATTTTAGATTCTAGAGAACGAATATTGCTAACTTACATGACTTGGTAAAGTGTCATTTAAATGTGATTTCGAATCCTATTTGTTATCGAGGCCTAAAATAAATGACGTTTCGTAAATGCCTGCCGTAAAACAAAAATAGTAAGCACTTCAACCCACCATAAATCGTATGCAAAAACAAAATTTGAAAAAATGCTCCGATAGCACCATGAGCAATTGTCTCATAAACTGCTTGAAACTCACTATGTCGGAGTATAGAGTATTTTGCTGGTACATGATCAAAATTACGTAGCCTTAAGATAAGCCGGAGGCAGTTATTTTTGATAATTTGGATTACATGGTCTAAAGTAGAAAAACTAAAAATATCACAATAATTTAATGTAGATAACAATGAGGACTTACTTAGCTTTTTACATGTAATTAAAGTTAAGTAAGTACCTGTTTTCGATGAAGTTTATGTAGCCTTGGATAAGTTCATTCAATAATTACATGCAACAAAAATAGTTATATAAATAGACTGAAAACCGCGTGTTAACTTGTATACTAAATTAAATGAAGCATATTTTTCAAAATTGTTCTTTTGGAGCAAAAGTAATTATTTAACGATAAATACTTATGCACAAATAATAGAATTATTGCACAAAAAACTAAACAAGTAGACATCATAATGGGTTATAAAGGGTAAAAAGGTAGTACTCATATGGAGAATAAAAGCAGTATAGTTTGAAAACTACTGTTTATTTACTTTAATAAATTGATTTACTGATGTTATGCTTAGGAAATGTAATTAACATGAAATATCTCAAATAACCATTTTTGTTTAATAACGTGATGAATAATATATTTTGTAATTCTAATCATAAAAGAAATGTATTGGTGACAACATTTAAAAAAGCAGTAAGTGAACTATACTGTTGTTTACCTAAGTTCAGCAGTACAGACGCTTTAGATAATATCTGAAAATTGTGAAAGCTTATTTCTAGATTGTAAACGAAAAGTAGATTGTGATAAATATGATATGCCCTTATCTGGACTACTTCACGACATATCTTTGTTGCAGAAAGAGTATGGAGTTCAAAAAGCGAAATATATTGACCAACTATTTCCAAAATGTTACGGTGCAAGAATCAGTACAGACGAAAATAGCAATGCAGTTGATGACGATGGTGTTCTTATTTTTGAGAACCTCAAATCCGAAGGGTATATCACAGAAGACAGACTCACTGGATTTGACAAAGAAGCTGCCGAACTGATAGTCAGTGACCTTGCCAGGTATGTATGTATTTAAAAGCACGTCGTATCAATTAGATGAACTTTGCGATTAGAAATTGAATACCAACGGCAGAATGTTCGAATATGTTTTTTAGGACTTACAACCTTTGGCTTTGAGCCTTCACTTAACAATATCATAAACTCTAAAATAGACTCAAAATACGTCACTGGATAGCACGACAGAAGAGACCATCAGCCCTGTAAAATTTAGCCATAACTAAAAATTTTCAGAAATCGTTGACCATGTTTGAGGAATTTCTTTGGAGTTTGGAATTTAGTTAGCCCTGATCCAATATTTCGGTGCTCATGATAAAAATAGGACTTGTAAAAGGGAATCGCACTACTTAACGCCATTTTTTTACATAGCGTAACATTATTTGCAGGTTCCATGCCACCACAATCGCTCTGAAGCTAATAAAACCAGGAGTGTTCAAAGAAAAAATACTTCCATGTACAGTAAAGAACAAGGGTCTGGAACAGCTTCCTGAAGAAGTAGGAAAATCATTCCACGACAGCATAATGGAGGGTGCAATGGAGCAATCAGAACTCGAACCATACTTACCAAGGTTAGAATCCTTTAAATATGTGTTTGCGTGTTATCCAGATGTCAAAACATGACAACAAGAATTTCAGCAGTCATTTTGGACTATTAGACCAGAATTTGTATGACACGTCTGTTTGAGTCATTTCATTCAAGCTAGTTGGGACTGATATTAATCATCAACTCTGTTGGTTCAGTTAATGTTTTTGCTCAACTAAATGACATATTCTCTTTTTGATGCAATTTAAAGAAGTATTCCGGTTCAAGTAACATACAGAATAATAAGTAAGATCTAAATAAATACCGTAATTTCTTGTCTACTTTGCAGTAGCTAACTGCCTCCCTTTTCCTATAAATTCTAAAAATTGTAACTCAGCATCAGTAGTTCGCATTTTTGTTGTATTTTTTTTACAAAAGCAACATGAGACCAGACCAGTAGACTAACAAATACCTTGCAGCCTGCGTGACTTTTTTAGATGTACTTGAGTGTTCAAATCTACAAAAGTCTTTTTTTAAGATGGTTTTGCTCATCAGGTGTTACAGTATTATTAATTTATAGAGAAAATTTAACCAACTGAAAAGCGGTACTTGTACAATCAGTTTCCTTTCTTATTTAATCTTCTATCTGATACCGACTTCATTTCACTATGTTTGTAGTATATTATTGATTAATATACTCTACCTGAAGAGAGTAAGCCCAATACTATATTTCGACATTCAGAAAATTATCTGAGATGAGACGGGTACCATCTTCTTTGCGAATTAGTTACAAATATGTTTCTTATCTCTGCAATAATTAGAAATCTACTTTAATGTCTCGTATTTAGCGCAAGTATTACGACTCCAATGACAAAACTTGGAATTATTCAGTTTTTATCTAAAAAGAACCTAAAAATGTTATACTATTTTGGAAAGAGCATTCAGTAGCTAATTTTTAAGGTCATTTGCTGATTTTTTGTCACAGTAATTAGTAAAACCTTAGTAAAGATTTTCGCATTGAAACCAAATGTAATAATTTGTTTTTTGAGCATGCCATGCTAGTTTTTAATGAAAAAAATACTCGGTTGTCCCAATCAACTATCAATGGTACCCCAGGAAAAAAATCATGAGTTAGAAGTTCTTTATAGCCATAACAGGCAAAAAAGGACCAAAAAGTAGGGATTTTCTGAAAAAACTCAAAAGTGGCAATGTGTCGAAAACTAGAAAACCTTTACTAAAGCCATGTTTATTTCATCTGATTGATCCAATCCACCTCCTGTGTCACTATGACGTGGTATTTCTGGAACACCCTGTATAAGTCCCTGTGGTTGCCTCTCTGATCTATCTATCTTACACTGGGCAATAAATTAAACCACAAGATGTTGGATATAAATAAAAATCAAAATCATGCCAAATAAGTGTATGAAATTGAAAATGTCTACCTTCATTTAAAAGCGTTTTTGCTTCCCATGCCAGTGGCGAGGAAGTATTGTCATCGCGAAAAACTTCAAAAATGAGATAATGTATTTTAGATCGCTCGAATTTTGATGAAATTTCCACACAAGGTTACTAATATGCCACAGCTTTGTAATTTTTAAAACTCAGGAATGTAGGCAAAAAATAAAAAAAATGTATCGCTTTAACTTAGTTTTTGACGTTTCTGAGGCTCCTAATCATCTATAGAAAAAAATTGTAGGAGTTAAAAACCGGGGGCTGGGGAAGGGTTGCATCTTTGGTATCAATGAAAAGCGAAGAAAATCCAACGATTAATTTGCTCGACGAAATATCTTTCGACATGAAATCCATGGCGACAGAAAAAGCCGGTACCTGCGTTATGCGCTTTGACGCCAAGAGCAAACCGATCTGCAGACTGCCCCCAAACGGTTTCAGACGTTCCAAAGTAGAAAACATCTGTCTCTTTTTCACTCATCATATCACTCCCCCTACCACCACCCCCACCCCCCATAAATTCAATTTTCACCAGGCTCATAGATGAGTCTAAATGTTTCTCTGTCACGGGGCCCCTCCAGTCATATTTTCGGCGCTTCAGAGGCTCAGTACAAAGTTTTTACTTCAGGCCCCGGAAACCTAAGATCTGTCACTGATCGCTACCGTCCTTATTTTGGAAAAGATGAGGTATTCCACGGATCATTAATGAATGTCTTGAATTTCTTTTGAATAATGTAGCAATGTTGGATAGGTTTGTTTTCTTTCATACCACCACTATAATGAGATATAAAGAATCACACTGAATATGTTAATTAATCGTTTTTAATACTATTTATCAGGTTGCAGAAAATCGTTGACTACTTCGCCGTCCATTCCTTCGTCAACCGCCCGCCCCCCAATGAAAAATGGGGCACCATGACTCACGCCGACTACTGGACCAGCAACACCATGATCCTGAAGAACGAAAAAGGGAAAGTGATAAAAAACAAAATAGTCGACCTGCAGCTATGCAGCTACACCTCGGTCGTCAGAGATCTCATCTTCTTCCTCTTTACCAGCGTAATCAACAGCACTCTGGACAAGCACTATGAAGACTTCCTCAGAGCGTACCACAACAGTTTCACAGACACCCTCAAAGACTTTGATCTGGACTTGGGTCCATACACTTGGGAAGAGTTTGTTAAGGAGGTGAATGATGTTGGGCCCAATGAGACATATCATGTCTTGGTGATGCTAAAGCCAATCTGTACTGAGAGAGAGAAAGTCAAAAACAGCGCGGAAGATTTCCAAGACAGTGATTGGAGTAGAAAGGATCTATTGGGACCACAGCATAGACGGAAATTGAGGGATACAGTTTTAGCATTTGTTGAAAGAGGCTGGATATAGCTCAAGAAACGAATTGAAAGTGGGTAGATATATTTTTAACACAAAAAAGAATTGTTTGAAGTTTACTGATACCATGAATTCCTCTAGCTAATGCCCAAAGAGATGAACATGAAATTATTTATAAATGTAGGGGAAATATTGATCTATGAAGACGAATTATAAAGATCTAAATATAAATGAACACTGTGTAATGGCTATAAATTATACTTTACACAGTGCCCACCTGGAAGTACAATCAAAAACAGAAAACAAAAAAACTACTGCTGTTTATTAATATCAGAAAATGTACTTTGTGTTCACATTTGATAAAAACATTTATGTCTTTAGATTTCTTTATTAATTGTAGAGAAATGTGATTTAGTTTTAGGTTGTAGAATATAATAAATTGGTACATAGAAGGTTTATAGTAAAGCTATTGTTGTTTGTATTTAATAATTCCTCTAGCTATAATGTCCAACGAAATTAGTATGCTGCCCGAAAAGTACATCTATTAGCTGTACCAGTCGGGTCATTTGTGTTGTCCTTTCTGAAGAGAGGTTATGTTCAAAGTTATAAATTACAGTTTTTCACACTTAACATTTTCGCAGTACCCCACATCTAGGCGCTGATTTGTATTTTCTTTTGACATCGCAAAATATATTTCTATAAAATTTAAATACTGGAAATATAAATAACCTTTTCATTTTCATAAATATTCCTGTCCGTAGCATATTTTCTCTCTGCTACTTCACCAACCAGAGATTTTCTTTTCTTATCTCTCTCATTTTGAAATTCAGCAAGTTTTATATGTAATTTCCAGAATGAATAAGAAAAAGTGGGTGCGCAACTAATTTCTAGCTTTGAATCTCAAGTGAGTGTTTTTGAGACAAGAAACCAATGGAATTATCATCAACATAAGTACAGTCATCTGGAGTAAAGTGGTACCTAAAAATGATTCCAATCAAGATTCTCAAAAAAAAAATCCAAAAATGTCCTCTCTTTCCATTTTTTTATGCTGAAGGGTGTCCGCCTTTACCCCTATGAGTGGGGTAAAGACGGACACCCAATGCAAAAATGCATTTTTTCGCTTTGTGGGGTACACTCGGACATAGAAAAATGAAAATTATATGAATTTAATTCTGGCAAAGTTACAAAACTCAAAAAAAACAATTTATGTTTCAACTTTTTTATTCACAAACTTTCATCTAAGTAATAAACTTAAAAATAAATAATAAATCTAAAAGTTAACAGATTGCACCTAACTAAAAATATCATTTTCCTATTTTAGTAAAAGAAACCTAAGAATAATAAAGCTACTGAATAACAAATTTCAATAAAATTGTTTTTGATAAATTTCTGCATTATTCAACTTTAATATTTTTAAACGATTTCAAGCTGTCTTAAAACCTTTAAAATTTGAGGAGGATCTACCAAGCTTTGGTCTTTAATATTAGGGTAAACAAAATAATCACCAATTTTTTCGGAATTTTGCTTTCTTAAGAAATTTACGTAATAAAGTTTTTCATTGACGTCTACAACGTCAGAGACACAGCCAACAAAGTATTGGAATGTATTATTTGGACAGGAAAACTTCACTAACAAAAAATTGCCTGGTTGGATACAATCTAAATTGATCTGGTTATGTAGGTCAGCTTCGGGTTCACCACTGAAATTTCCCTCTTCTCTTAATTCCTCATCGCTGGGATTTTTAGCTGCTTCTTGTTCATCGCCACCATTCGATAGACCCATATATTCAGGTTCAGAGTTGTCACTGCTTTCTTCAAAATCTTTCGCACTTATAGACTTTCCCGGTGCCACTTTTATTTGTTTCCTCTTTTTGGACTTTCTACCTGAGTTATAGCTAATCTGCTCTACTTGAGAAATTATTTTAAGGTTTGCACCCAATGAACTTCGCCCTCACTTATATCCATTATTGGATCTATATCAGGTAAAATTCGGTTTAAAACTACATTAGCGTTCAGTGGGACAATGCCGCATGCTTTAAAACCAGATTTAATGTTATTTTCGGAATTTTCAATGCTGTCAATAGCTTTCTTCAAAAGTTTTGGACATTCTGATTTCACGATGCAGCCCCTATTCCGCATCTTCCATTCCAATAAAATCTTACGCCATTGTTTTTTCATCGGTGCAAAATATGCCACATCTAGGGGCTGTAAGAGGTGAGTTGAGTTGAATTGAATGTTATAATTTTGACAGCATTCCAAAACGTGCATAGAAGTGTGGCTGGCTAAGTTGTCTCCTATTAATATTTTTTTGCCTGGAAGATTTCGAAAGTAAGGAAGTAAAATCCTGTCAAACCAATCTTCAAAAGCAGGGCCATCAAACCAGCCTGACTTAGTTCGATTGTACATGGTACCATCAGGACCTCCCTCTATCCAGGCTGGATATAGGTGAACAGATTTATATATTACATATGGGGGTAACAATTGTCCTGCCGCTGTTATTGTCATCATAACTGAGGTGCTAGACTTACTTGAATCAATTATATTCTCAACGCTCTTCGAACCACGGCAGCATAAAACGTTTTGTTTTCCAGGGTCATCTGTCAAATTGGTTTCATCATAATTCACGATATTCATAGGTTACTACCGCCTTGGTTACATTAGCCCTGTATCTCTTTATATTTTGTGCAAATCTCTCAGTCAAAATTTTGTTTCTACTGACAATGTTATAAAACCACTCAATCCCAGGCATGTTGTCCTTGAACTGGCTTATTTGTTTACCTTTTCTATTAAGGTAATCCTTTACCAAGCATCTTATATCCCAACGAGTCATAGGAAATCCCCACTCTGCAAACTGAGTGATTCCTTCTGCGAACATTTTTTCATCTTGTTCTGATAGTTTGGTAGGTGCACCATGTTTTCCAGCTTTTTGTCTCTTGAGTTCGTCGGATAGAGTGGATTTTGGTATTCCATAGTACTCTGAGGCACCTCTAAGGGATTTTCTTTTGTTCCGAATGTCCTCCAGAGCCTGCTCCATTTTGTGTGGTTGATAGTTCATAAATTTTACGCAGATTTTTTTTATGCCTAGGCATTGCTGTCCGCCTTTACCCCACCTATAGACAATTTTTTACAAATTAATTGATAGAAAAACAACAACCAAGAAAATGGAAAAACTTTATGGTGCATTTGGTGCATATGGCTAGGGATAAACCCCCGCCTCTTTAAGATAGGTAGTTCCGATTGTAACATTTGACATAAATTATGTACAGAGAGGTTTTTTACGGTATTTTAATATTTGCAAAAAACAAACAACTTTTTATAAATGCCGTACCTGTGCTCACAAACAACAACAATCAAGTCGCGTGCTCTATTGATGCTTTAGTATAGCCGTACTGACACGAATCGACAGAAGTAGCGCGCAAAAAATGTAAACACTCGCTGTTAGATTCAGAAGTGGGGAGATATGTACTCGTGTCCGTCTTTATCCCTACTGTCCGCCTTTACCCCAGACGACGGTATGAGCACACAAAGGGTTTATCTCTGACACAAATCCTCACTATGCATCTATTATGCACCGCCGTTTCCTTCCAGCTGTAGTATTCAACTTACAGCTTAGACCTCCAATTGTGCCATCTCTGAAGCAGATGTTACATCACATCAGAGCCAAACATTCTAAACTGAAGCATCATGACGTTTAGGCAACACGTACAACTACAAAACGAGTTCACAGCTAAGTTAAGATCTTGTTGAAAAACCTACGATATGTAAAAAAAAACCTACGTTATGACAAAGAACGACCTAATGTCACTGTTCAAGATACGTAATACCTGTGCGGGAATGAAACCGAACGCACTCCTTCCTAATCACTAGTCAGTAATCAAATCCAAGCGAATAACCAAAATTTCTGTGTTATGTGCCGCGGTTATAATATGGTTCAAGATGACACACGGGTTGATGACGCGTTAGTTTTAACCGCGGTTTTGTTGCAAGTTGTTTATTTTAGAAAAGCGCGTATATAATCTCTGATTATTTTTATTATCACTTAATAATCGGTGCTTTTTCGTCTACAACTGTATATGGAATGTTTAAATAAGAAACCTTTCATAATATTCATGGGAGAAATGTTTTTTTCAGATTTTTTTTTAATGATGGAACCATGGCTTTGTAGCTATGATAACTTTCAATTCTCTAAATTTTTCCGCATGTCAAAGAAAACATTTATTGATTCAGCAGAAATGATGAAAAAAGAAATTAGCAAAACCGTATACAGGTGGATATCATCTAGTGAGTTTATATGGCCATATTTTAGTATTCTTGTGGTATATGGCTACACAGGATACTTTGCTAAGCATAGGAACTACATTTAAAGTGTCCCCAACAACCGTAATGAGTATAACTAATAAGGTGCTCCACTTTATGGTAAAACTGAAGTCAGCCTGAATCATTTTTCTCAAAAATGAAGCTGAAGTACAATAACATTATCCAATACCCGGCAAAATTCTAACTTGTTACATTTCAAATAATAACCAGAAATATAAAACTACTCTTGAGTTGGGTAAATACCACAATTTTGCGGTGATAACTATGACATATAACAGCTGATTCGTGACGTCACGGATCTTATAACCAAACTGATAACTCGCTTGAACGGTATGGTAAATACCAACCTAAAATGGTAAATACCATTTCCATTTGGTTATCCGCTTGAATTTGATTAGTGTTGTTTCGTGCTTGTCACCGGTCACCGGCCTATGTCAAGAAAAACAACAAATGTTTAGGTTATCTAACTAAATATAATCGTAAAAATAAGGACAACTTTGTTTATAAAACTTGAATGATGTAAGGGTCACGTTCCCAGTTCATCATATCAGAATTTATGTGTATTTATAAGATATTTGCCGCCTAGTTTTAAAATACACCAACAAAAAGGAACTCATTTATCAGAGTATTAAAAGTGTTTTTTTGGAATAACAAGAACAAACAATTCATCAGTAGGTAAATATTATTATTACTTTGAGCTGTTTTAATTAGTATCTGCTTTAAAAACTTTGTTTTAAGATCCACAATTTCATGACATTGATTCAATCATTTCTGTTGTGAGCAATAGTTAAACCAAGAATAAACCAGGGGAAGATAAGCATATTTAGTAGTGTTTGTATTTTAGCAATAAGCACGTAAATGACATGGAAATCTGGTCACCATGTGAAGATATTACTGAAACCTGCAAAAGCAAAAATTATGGCATACTTATATTGAACGTTCCTATTGCATTTGATTGTAACCATAACTTTGTAATGAGTTTATGGGATCAAGGTAAGTAAAAATTACTTTAGAAGATGACTTAGTTAAATAGCACCAAGAGCTATGCAATTTTGATACTTAGCAACAATAAAGGTTATATGATAAGTGGAGAAATTCAGCTAGTTGGGCACCTCCCCAGTCTAACGCATCACTATATCGTTTGTGCATACTTAGTGGTCAGAGACTTGTCAGTTACTGTGTTGGAGGTCTGCCCATGTAAATTCCATCTATATAGTGTAGCGGAATGAAAAGAATTTGTGTGGTGGGATCTTGGACACAATCACTGACAGGTTGGTAACAGCTGCACAAATGGGGCCTTAGGCTCCCAGTTGTATTGGTAGTAGTAGTTGTAATAGTGGTGTAGAGGTGAGGTAACTTTTTGACTTTTGCGTGAATGGGACTTCCTGATGATCAGGAGGCTCAAACATTTCCCCAAACTGTACATCCTCACTGTCAAGATTCAAAATTTGGCCCTTGGCATGTGAGTTTTTTGTTTCCAGTCTACTCAGGTGCAAATCGTTCCTTTTAGTGATTGGATTCCATAGTTTGGATTGCAGTATCGGGATTGATTCCTTTGAATTATTCATGATTCTGATTCCTGCAATTTCAAATCATACCATCAGTGTTGATGTTAAGGATTAATACCATAGTATTGATTCCAATGGTCGCAATTCCTGAAGTCAAACTCAATGTTTCAAGCATTTACCAAAATAATTTTTGATGAACTGTTTGAAATGTGTACAAGCTTGAATCTGAATCTCTTTTACACCTAGCAAAAGTGCGGATGACTGTGGATGGTGGTACTCAAAGATGGATGGATTGGTTGAAAGTGAACAAATATGATCTAAATAAGGTTCAGATGCCAGAATTGATATCTGGAGATATGGATTCCACACCAGCAATGACATTGGAGTATTTCAAAAATACCACTACACAAGTAATTTATACACCAGACCAAAATGAAACGGATTTTGTCAAGGCTCTTAGAGAATTAGACAAATACTGTAAGGTGAACAATATACAGGTAAACATTTCTGAACTGATTGACTTCTAATATTGTGATATTATCTAACTATATAGTGATAATGAGATGAGCCAATCATCATATGAGGAAGCTTTTTGTGATTCATATAACTAAACTACATTGTTTAATGTCAATACTTTTTGGGTTTAGCATCCCAAATTTTCTCATGAACATTTTTGGAAATTTTAACAATGCACTACACATGCCACAACTATAAAATGAAATTTGATGCAAATTTAAAATAAGATATACCACATTTAGTTAGTGCGTTCTGTGTGGGTCGGATTGGATATTTTCAGGCATTTTAGAAATTGTAATTATTATTTTCTTTATACAAATTTCAATCCCGGGAGCCTCATGTCAAAATCTCATGTTTGCTCCTTCAGCTGGTAACTGACCTGTAACAGAATGATGTGAGGTGATATGTTATGGTCAGTACAGTCATGCGAGGAGCGAGCAGTTTTCTCGCGAATCCCTTTTAATACACCCCACAAGAAGATAACCCAATTCAACTTTTCCATCGTTCAAACGTTCTGAGAAAAGCAAAATCTTGGAGATAATTATGGGAAAGCTTAAGGTATGATCTTTGCTTGGAAGGTTGATATCAAGTTTTAGAATAAACAATTTTCTTTAAAAGGAATATGGAGCCAGGTTGGACATCTCTTTAGAGAATACGTTAATCCGTGGTATGAGTTATAAGTGAATACAGGAAAACCCAACAAGTGATTAGCGGTACTCGGCCCAGCGCTGTGTTCTGTGCGACAAGTTAGCCTGGAGTTAAACCTGTGATATATGAGCCTCTTCCCACTTCAGATGGCCCACTTCAAGATTTGTACCAAAATATGCCTTTATTTTATTATTAAGAGTACCATTGGGTAACATCACCTTTATTTTTTATTAAGGCTGAAATTCTTTGGGGCATAGTGTTAACCAAGTTTTGGCAAAAATTTGGTGTAAAACAATCCCATATTTCTTGAAGCTTTTGTCTCAGTTCGGTGATTGTACGAGCAGGATGTTGTCGTAGAACCTTTTTCATCTCGTGCCACCAAGTTTCAATAGGTGACAGATCTGGACTGCTAGAAACCCATTTCAAAAGTGGTAAATTATTTTCTTCCATCCATTTTATAGCCTAAATCTTGGCCGGATGTCAAACATTCTTCCATCACTGGGAAAAGCGATTCTTCTAAAATTGCCAAATATTTGTTTGTATCCACATATCCATCTATAAAATGAAGTTTTCCTACTCCTTTTGATGACGTACTGCCCCAGACCATAATGGATGCTGGAAATTTCACTTTTCTCTTCAGACAGTCAACATGGAATGCTTCATTTTTTTTGCGAATAACTCTACTGCGACTGTCACCAACACAAACTTCGAATCGGGCCTCATCACTCCATTGTATTGCACACCATTGTTGAGGTGTCCATTGCCTATGTTCTTTAGCCCATCTAAGCCGATTTTTCTTTTGCAGTGGAGTTAATAGTGGCTTTTCTTTGGCCTATAAACAAGTTGTGCAACTTTAGGGTTTTTGCTTCACTTTTTTTATAAGAAAACTTACCTTGCAAGTGCTAAATGCCAGTTTGTGGGCCTCTCTATGAGTTGTGAACCTCGAAATTCTCCTTCCAACAGCGTTACTCCACAGAGCACTTACTTTTTTCACATATTATCGTGGCTTATTATTAACTGAACCAGTTACGTTATATCTTCTAACAATATTTCTCACACTGTACCGCGATAAGTCTAACAAAGTTGCAATTTCTGAGTTTGATTTACCAGAATTAAAAAATATAATTATCAGTAACCAAATTTTCTCACTAATAGCCTTTCCTCTACCCATTTTGAAAACCTTAACTACCCAAAACTATTCTAAACGTATTCTGACGGCTGTGATTAATAAAAACAATTGTCATTGCCTTTATTTTTCACAGCCACCTCTGCGTTATAGACTTATTTTGCATTGAAATGAAAATAGGTTGTTATGCTGTAATTGCAACATGTGTTATTTTTATGCTGCAAATTTGATTAGGGAGTGATAAAGTTGGTGTTTTCTACTATATATTATGAAAATATTCATTGTTAATATTTTAAACCTATAACACCCTGCTACATTTTTATTATTTGTGTTAGATAAGAAAAAACTAAGATTTCAATAGTTGGGCCAACTGAAGTGGGAAGGGGCTCTTTCCCTATTTCACCCATGTCCATCACATTTTGACGCCTACTGAGGTGAACAGCTGATCAACAAGTGACATCTTTGTCTTTGTAACGTTGGCAAAACTGGTAAAACTTGTTTGTAACGTTTTTTTCTTTTTGTATGCAAAACATGAACTCCCAAATTAAAGTACCAAATAAATATGTAGCTTACAAAAAAACAAAACAATATATGGCTCTGTCTACCTGGCCTTGACGGTTCTGTCAGAATAATGTGTCGTTAGTCGGTAGGTGGAATTTTGAAATATTACTACTTAGTCAACTGTTACTTTACTGTAATGGATACTCGTGAAAAAGAGAATATATAATCTGTAGGGTCTAACGGATATGGCATAACGTCTTTGGTCGTGGGGTCAAGCAGAAATTTTATAGTACAAATCTGTAAATGTGTTCATGTTTTGCACAACTTGACCGAGTTTTTCTGGAAGTGTTTCTTTTTCCTGCACTATTTTTTTCTTTATTTTGTGTGTGTTATTGAAAATAAACATGTACAATTGTGCCCTTATTATGCGCTGTAAGCGATCCACTGTTGATACTAAAATTCTATGGTATTTTTCACGAGTATCCATCATGTTTTGACGTCTACTGAGGTGATCAGCTGATCACAAAAGCGACATCTTTGTATTAGTCTGTAACGTTGGCAGTAATGAATTTCAGGACCGTATTCAGAGCAGTTGTTCACAAATCTGGATTATATGGGGTGGTCAATATATAACTACATAATTGCGCGCCATTTTTGATACACGCATTTCAGTAGGTGGCGCCGTAGTAGTTGTTTAAAGCAGATGATTCCACAACGCGTCCGTATTGTTAAGACGCTTTACTTAAATAATGAGTCGATTGTTACAAGGATTGGGAACGTACAAGATTTCGGTCGAAATAATGTGCCCAGTGTCAACACCATTCGTCAATTATGGTGCGGAAATTTGAACAAACAGGCAAAGTTAAAGACTTGCCAAGGTTGGCCGTGTTCGAACTGTTCTTGCTCCGGAAAATATCGAGGCAGTTCGTTCTGAGACCTCGACCACACATCGTTCTCAAGAACTGCGTATTTGTCGCTCGTCATTATGCACTTTTTTTGAAAAAAGGCTTGCATTTGCGGCCATACAAAATTCTGTTAACCCAAGCACTACAGCCTAGTGTCCATGAAAGTCGCCGACAATACAGTCATGCAATATTGCAGCTTAATACCCAAAATAACGATTTTTACCGACAACTGATAATGAGCGGTGAAGCCCTTTTCGTTATGAACGGATTTGTTAATAAGCAAATACTGTAGAGCAGCTGAAGAACAATATTACGGAAGCGATTGAAAGTATTCCTCCCGAAACGTACCAAAAAGTGGTGGAAAATGTAATCAGGTTCGCGCGGCTTCTAGAGGCGGATATTTGCTGATATTATTTTTCATACATAATTTCTAAGTTTCAATAAAAGGTTAAGATGAAAAAATGGACGTATTTTATTTAATTTCACAAATATTCAAGATACGAAACAGTCAGTTACATATCGACCACTCTGTACTTTTAAGTGAATGGGAAATGTGACAATAAAACGTACGAAGTTCAGATATAAAAATGTTTATTAGAAAATTACATTATTAAGAACTGGTTGCGTGGACCTTTCCATTAACTGTAATTTTACCTGTAAAAATAATATAGACACGTGTTTCTGGTTTATTGTCCGTTATCAGTGTAACGTAAATCAAATACAAGTTAAGTATGTGCAAAACCTATCATAAAAATCAGTTGTGAATACAGCTCACTCAATTTACCATTCCCGTGATATATATTGATGGCATAACATCAATTTGCTGACATGGTGCATCCAACTGAATGTCTTACTGTTTTTGTAAAAACCATAAACTACATTTCTTAGTTCCCTATCACAAACGCTATCCACGCGACGTTTGCGTTTCCTTTGAATTGATCTCAACTGTTGGCTTGCATTGTCCTTGTTGAGAGATTTCATGACTTAGTGCAATAGTTGTACATTTTTCTAATTTCGAACTTGTTTGAATTACCTGAAGAATGTTCAGACCTAATTCAGGGAATCGAACCTCTATCAGTTCGGTCATATACTACCACACATTCTGAACCAATTCTATAGCTGTCTCATTGCCCTTTAAAATCATATGGTATTTCAAGTTCTAAACAGTAGAGATGATTAACATTATCAAAAATTGTTTATCTTATTTTATTTCTACCCGACTTGAAATGTAGTCATGATCATTAGCAGTCATTTTGCTTTTAGCGTTTTTTATATGCATATGATTTTTCCAAATAAAAGAGTTGTTAGCAGGTACAAAATGAATCTGTAGCGTACAAAAAAAACACAACACAATACGGATCTGTCTACCTGGCGTTGACCGATCCCTCAGAATTAATTATGAGTCACTTGTCGATATAGGGAGTTTTCAAATATCACTACATAATCAGCTGTTCTACCGTGATGGATATTCGTGAAAAATAACGTTTAACAGGTTAGTACATTGTAAAGGTGTAGGATTAAACTATTAACTTTATTTATTGCTGAGTAGCTCCTTATGACTACAGAGTGTGAAACATAAGCTAGACTGGTGTCGATATAATACACAAATATGTCGACCTTGGCTCCGCCCCATGACACCGTTTTGTATTGCCAAAATAGGTTCTAATAGTGCCTCTCTAGGTACTTTCTCGATGATTTAAGCATTCTAATGTTATAAGCCATAGGTCAGTCGCCAGCTGTTGTGCTGGCTTCAAGTTTTTGGCAAAGATAAGAAAACTCGATTTACGGATTATGGAACGCCAAGTCCAAATCCGAGGTTTTTGTTGTATCGTACTGTATATTTTTTTCAGATAGATACAATATACGCACTAGCCGACACATCAGGCCGCCTAGATCAAATTCTAGCAAACATCAACACTCTATACAAATGTAAACAGATTATTAGCAATACAAAACTGTATCTGCTGGCCAAAAGTTCCTTAACGTGGCTCTTGGATGCAGGGAAACATTCATTAAGTATTCCACAGACGTTGAGAGATAGCCAGCAATGGTGCTCACTTTTGCCAATTGGTGAGCCATGCCAAGTCAGTACCACTGGCCTGAAATGGAACTTAGGTATGTTTTTTCAACATTTAATGTCGCAACTACAACGAAAATTTGCAATGATTGGAGATGCTGTTTTTCCTCATTGTCGCAGTGCAGGTGAAATGATTAGCGAAAACTAAATAGATATATCGAAACTTCCATTAACTGAATTTATTATTTCATTCATTTGTATTGTTTTCTTGGTTAAACGTAGCAACCATATAGCTTTCATAATATTTTCAATCATTTCCGTTGTAGATCAGAGATCGTATTGGTTTTGTGTCTGAATGTAACCCAAAAATTTAAACAATACTATAATGCATTAGTAGTATCGATCAATATTATCAGCCTCCTTTTTTATGCCAGTCTTTGCACATTGTTTTTTAATGAGTTGTTCGACTCCTTTATACGAGAATACATTTTTTCAGATAAGAAAACGTTGAAATTCGGCAGTCTAGTCAGCACATCAAATACTTATGATGGATCAGAAGTAGTCACAGTAGAGACTGATCATCCAGTTGTTTGGTCGATGAGTATAAAAACTTTGTTATGACAACATTTCAACTATCATAGGTAGCTCAACATTTTTATATTTTGCTCATTGCTATTGTTATAATTATTTTTGTATTACCCAAGTTTTTATTTTAAAACGTCACTTGAATATATATATCCCCAAGTTAACGAAGTTTATGGTTCCTACAATATTGTCGGATGCCTTTATGGCCTTCTTGATTTTCATAGTATTTTCTCTCCTTCAGAAAGGCTGACGTATTTCTAGATTTATACCGTTCCATGTCAGCGTCAGCGCTCTCCTATTGTGAAGGTAAGTTTTCTTTTTGAATTGTGGGAAATTTCAGGCTGATAAAACAGATAATATAAATTAGAAGCATGGACATTTTGATGCAAATAGATATTTGTTACATAACCTCAAAATGGAGCGCTGAACTATGAAAATCAAGGAGGCCAGAAAGCCGTCCTACAATTGTAGGAACGACTGACGATACGGCCCTTAAAAATGCCCCATACGGAAGTTGTTGAAGAGACAATCAGGACGCAATATTTCTAATGACTTTGAGCTTCCAATGGTTTTTATAACCTTCATTTTCATTTCAAAAAATCAGAATGAATTAATATTTGAATTCAATACTACAAGAGATTGGAAACTGTTAAAATAATCAAATCAATGATCATCCTCCATAGTTGTTATGTTGTACTTGTTCGTGCAATATTATTTTTCTTAAAAATAGGGATATCATTGGCAAATGGGATAACCTTTGAAATGCATACATGTAAAATTGAAATGGGGTTAATATTAGGCATAGAAATTTACAGCCTTCTGAGGAACATCTTTCTATCCAGCTAACTTTGGGCTATATCATGATTGGGTTTTGTACATAATACTGAAGATGGGGTTATATTATAGTCTGAATATCATTATCAGTACTTAATCTAAACATCTTGCTGTGCAGTAGTGAATTTTTATATGAACAGTTTGAGCAAAAGTAGCCTTGCTTTTGATTGTACATTCCAAAAAATGTTATGAAAATTTTTTATTTACTCCCTAACATTAGAGTGGCAAAAGAATTTGTGCCTCCATACGTCATTAATTATTCGATTCAATCAGTACGGTTGCCCTTTGAAATTACTAACTTTCCCTCCAATTAACCTCTGAGGCCATTGTCTAGGTCACTTTTGAGGTCATCGGCAAATTGCTTTTCAGGTATTCTAAAATTTTTCTTTGTACCGTCATTCAAAAAAGAATGCGTGGTTGCCAAGTTGTTGGGGGTGTTCGTGAACTTATTAAACAGTACGTCATACTGATTGAGCCACTTATGACCGCTTGACCTCGTGTATGAAAATGCAGTTGATGTAGAATCTCGATTTATACACGAATCTGCTGTTACTAAGGTCAGTGCCTAGGTGATATTTGGGGTAATCGATAAATTGCTTTTTTGATACCCTGAAACTTTTCTTGGAACTTTTTTCCAAATATAAATTGGGTTTGAGTATTCAATTTTGATTTGAGTTCCGACTGCCACACACTCTTTGAAAAACTCAAATTATTTATTGGAAAACACAAATCTGTGATTTAGGTATATTTTATGATTTGATTATAATTATTACTTATTATACATACAGGGTTTCCCAGAAATAACACGCCAGAGTGGTAGATTGGCTTCAGATCGATCAGATAAAATTAACATGACCTGAGTAAAAGTTTTCTAGTTTTACAAGTTTGATTGATCTGAAGCCATTCCCCTCTCCTCCCGTGTCACCCTGGCGTGTTATTTCTGTATATTGGTTTCACAGATAAAGGCGTATGACATAATTTACTTGTGTACTATTTGTGCCACGAACATTTTTTAGCATACAGTCTGTGATGATGTGATTGGATAGTGCATGTGCAGCTAGTGTCAGATTCACAAAGTGAAGGTCTCGGTGGCCGATTTGAGTTCATTATGCCACCGTCAGTGTATTTCAAATTATAGGCAGTCAAATATGACGGTAGAATACTTAAGTAGTACAAAGGCACGTGCAAATATGTGTCCACCAGAGACTGAAACATAAGATCTGCTTTGCACATACCTGGTGTATTTTATCTGTGAAATTTTAAGTTTTTGCACAGCATATGTGAGATAAAGTCCAACCTTATGAGAGTATCTACATTTGTTACAAATAAATTGTTTGTTTTATAAACGATGCTTTATTTCTCAAGCAATTATTCTTCGTTGCCATTATTTTAATATCTTTACATTGCATGATTTGCGTTAGTGTGATATAGATCATATCTATAGAATCAGTTCTGATGCACTGAGTATTAAAAAAACAAAAATATAATAATAGTTTTAACTCTTTAGTGAAGTGCTTGGAATTTGTGGGAGAACATACGACTATAATTATTATAATACATTTTCAACAAATAATTTATCTTTATTACCTAGATCGACCGCCCTTCAGAACGATCGTTTGTCCACAAAAAATACAGTGCTTTTCAAAATCATCACCCCGAATTGCAATTTGCTAACTGGACCAGCTCAAAAAACAAGGTGGAGGGCGAGGTACCTTTTTGGTATACTTATTATTCTCAATTGTTGACCGAATTACTTAAACTGGTTAATTGGATTCGATTCACTTTATTGACTCTAAACTTTCGAAGCAACCATTTACAAATACAGATATTTGTTTTTGTGTTAGTTGTTGCAATCCTTGAAGACATTTTCTCCGGTTTTTAGATTTTGACTGCCAACAACCACTCTTGCCAAATATCCAGCATTGCCAGAACGAAATCTTTTTCTTTCTGTGAATTGGGTGTCTAAATAATATACTCATTGTAAGAGACAAACAAAATAGAATGCCAATTAAATAGTACTTTACATACCTATCTTGAGAAGGGGGCCATTATCGGGCGAGTACTCTTATAACCTGAGCGCGAAGCGCCAAAAGATACATATAATGTGTGAGACCAATAATGGCCTTCTCGAACGGGGGATGTCTAGAAGTTTCACAGAATATTTGATTTTACATCATGGTCATGACAATAGAAGAATATACCTTGTGTCAAAGCGGTCAACTCAAATAATGAATGCATCAAATAGCCGATTTAGTTTGGATTGTCCTATCTAAGGGAAGTAACGTAGAAATGTTTTCCTGTTGTTAACATTATTGGAATATTCAAAGAGACTACATGAGGAGCTATACTGAAAACTACTTTTATCCAATTTTCCTAAATTACCACAAAATATAAAGATCAGTTGTCAAACTGACTCAATGACAATATAATACAAATTCGAAGGAAATTATTTATCTAGGTGCTTACTTCCCACGCCTGTCTGCAGGGAGGTATTGTAATCGTGAAAATTTTCAAAGATGAGATTATGTTTTACGGATGTGTTGTACATAACGAAAAACCATGTCACTCTTTTCCGTCGGTCTGCCCGCTAATCTTATACCCGCCTATAACTTGAGAAGTATCGCTCGGAATTCGACGAATTTTTTACACAATGTTACTACTATGCCAAGGATGCAAAAGATTTGTAGTTTTTAAAAACCGCAGAGAAAAATACTAAAAATGAAGTACAATGAAAATCACTCAAACTTCGTTTTTCACGTTTCAGAGGATCCTTTTTGTAGAAAATTTTAGAGATGAAAAACTTGAGGGTGGGGTTTTAGGAGGATGAAGAGAGTCTATCTCAATTTTTTTATGTCAGTACATTTATACACTCCCAACCTTGGTCTTCACTGCCACGTCCGACCGAGTTAAGTATCGGGGAGATGCGTTGTTTCAAGATGCACTATCGGTAGGGCAGGGATAGAATGTCTCTGGACTAATTGTATGGACCTCTTTGACCTTTTTCTCGGAGATCTAATTCATGCTAATAAGATCAAGATCATTTATGAACTGATAACGGCGTTACGTGCGAAATGCAAAGTCAACCTACTAGACGCAATTTCTTGCTCTCAATATCAATTTGCCTTGGTTTATTAGTAAAAAAAATTATCATTAAACGTCTACTTTTGTTGTTCTAAAAGTAAAAAATGATAAAAGATGTTGTAAAAAAACAGTCGACAGAGCGGAGTCAGTATTATCGTACTGGGTGTGTTATTTTCTTTGACACTGAGTATATATTATTACCCATAACATGATGAGTTCCCGGTAAACATTTCCCAACTCAAAACGGTAACTTTTATTCAAGCACCACTAATATACACATTATCGTTAAAATGTTACGCGTTTGAAATCTCTTTCCAGTGACGTCCTTAGGGGTTTGTACCTCGTTCATATGAGAGACGTAACATATATTATATAGGAACTTCAGGAGATGGATCACGTCTGGGACATCATCTATATCCAAAATCCATACATATATCCTTAATGACAACTGAAATATTCCCAAACAAGCAAGAGTAGGAGGAGAACCTAGGTCCCAGATTGTTGAAAATGGACCGAAAGTGTAATAACGAGCAACGTAGTGGAAGATATTGCATTGTTAGAAATGTTTTGCTCTTTAAAATAATGCGTAGGAACTAAATACCCAATGGCTAAGCATAAAGTGAGACAAGATTGAAGGGCGCATGAAGCATAACTCATTATTTTAGATAAATGGAAAATACAAATTGTTGATTTGTCGAGAAAATAATTGTAGTACAAGAAAGTTTTTTGTAGCTCTTACAGAGCTTATAGTTTGAGTAAAAAATGTCCTGATGACAATGAGGTCAGTCGAAAAATATAATAATAACCGAAAGCCCGCCTCAGTCAGCAGCTTGTCCATAATCCGACCAGTAATGGACACAATATCTGGCACCGTGCGTATCTGTGTGTAAAACTATCCAAATACCAGAATTCTAAATAAAAATCCTGGTCGGCTATGGCGTGGGCGTAGCGTGCGCGCGCATTTTCAAAAAACTTCCCCGGGAGACAAGTCGGGTGCGTATGGCAGTCACTGCGGGCTCCCTGAGTTGTGTGGTGCTCCTGGACCGCTCCTTGTTGTTCATCTCTACTCTGTAAGTGGATTTTATTTATATTTCCATGCCCGGCTACGTGCTCACCTCTGCTCTATAAAAAGTGCGCCTAGAGTTTCTAATTTTGGAATTCGTAAGTAGGATTATGTCACCGCACACAAACATTACTCATCAAATTGATAAAATTTTTGAGATTAAAAAATCTATCGGATTGCCAGTTACCTCGTAAAAAACACCACCATTAAAATATATAAAGTAATTAGAAACCGGGGAAACCCCTATAGCGAAAATTCTTAGTAAAAAGCTTAGTGAACAGCTATAATGTTAAACTATCATTCGCTCGAAATGAACTAGATGTTGACGTGTGCATAAAGACGGGCATTTGACACAAATTTTATGAGACTTTCATTATCTACACCAGTACTGTATATGGTAAATTATGTTAAAAATATCTAATATATTATTTTTTATATTACAATACATTCATGAATCATTCACGACCATCCAAAAAGCTGAATATAGTCAAGGGAAACAAAAAAGTCGATATATTTGATGTGCATAACGCGCCCGTCGTTATCTTGATTTTGATCCAAAAAGAGATGTAGTAGTAGCAATAGTGGGGAGGTAAAGACTGACAGTTCTTTGCGACCTCACCTAAAGCTACCTGACCTGTTGAAGGTCAAGATATAAGAGATTGTTAAGAAATTATTTCGGAAAATAATCTGAAGACTACTACAAACTCAGCAAAGGTAACGTATAGGTCATTCAAGAACTAGTATTGTTGAAGCTTGAAATTTTTCTTCATTATTATCCAATAATGAACTTATTGACTAAACTACTATCGGTCATTCAAAAATCAGGAATTGCAGGATCCAGCAAGTTTCTTTTATAATGATTTAATAATAACTCTCAATTATTGAGCGTACATTTGACAATAATCAACAATTTTCCTTTTTATATTAAAAAAAATGGATATAACTATAGGAGCAGCAAAAATAGCTGATAGGTTACTTAAAAATCCAAAATTATATTACCATCTTATTAATTCTAAACAACCAATCGGGGATACAGCTGACAGTATTCAACTACCTTAATTTTCCCGTTAAGAAGAAACATGTTTCTTATCCATATTCAGTTACAATACATGCGATCTAAAGTTACCTCGTGACATAGTCAGCGCCAAAATAGTGTACTAAATTTAGACGGAGAAGTAAAACGAAAGATCGACGGAAACATCCGTGCGAACAGTTTGAAACACATTTGTGACGTAAATAGACTAGATTGCAAAACATCAGCTTACAAATGAGTTGGGATGAGCTCAAACTTTGTTGTAGCTGTCACAGCTACCATGATACCTAAGCTATGAAGTCATAATATGGTATGCTAGATATATCTTCCGAATGGGTACTTGAACTTATGAAGTAGCTTAACGATTCTTATAAAACTCAAATAAATAGATCCTCTGATCCATCAACCCCGTAGTACAGTATTGTAAAATATTGTGCTTTCGTATAAAAAGTGAAGTAAAAGCTCATCATTACTAAACTTATTTATGTGTTAATATATTTCATCACTATTATGCCATAAAAGCAGGTTCAGGGATGGCTATTTTCTTTGCTCCTATTTGAAATATGGTATTTTACTCTCGGAGGTATTCCGCCATCAAAGCAATGTGACGTGTGTGACGTCACTTGATCTCGTCGCCTTGAAGCTTTTCAAGTGCAAAGGATGCCATTGTCACTAGATATGTTGAACCACTTTGAATTTGAAGCGAAAACATTTGAAAGCATCACTTTAAAAACTGTGAAGCCTTGTTATGTAAGAAAATTTATATCCCACATTAGAGGGCGTAGTAATAGCGGTCTCTTGGAACAAGTTGGGATATGAAATACCTGCCTCAAAATTGAAATTAGTTAATTAATTTGGAGGTAGAAAAACTTATTCATGCGTAAACAAGTACATCAAAAGTAATGTTCCTAGATACCATCGAAATAGTTTAGTTAGTGGCGAACACTGACTTTAGCAATTATATAATTGACAACTTGAGCCTCAAAATATTTTGAAACTATTCCTTGGACCAGGAAATAGACATCACCGGAAGTGCTGAACTCCAAATACCGCACCTGTGTCGTACTTGGGAACTAGTTTTAGCTTCAAAACGTTAGAAGAGTTTCTTTAAACTTATACTGTATAAGAAGCTTTTGCCTATTGAATAATAATATTTTTTTGCTTAGAAATAAGTAACCCGATTTATGTGGTAGATCCTCT